CAACCTGGGGCCCTGTGGGCGGAGGGGACAGCCAGGACCTCAGGTTCCTAAGGAGCGTCCAGCAGGGGTGTCCTCAGGTGGGCAGGAGGGGGCCCCGCTGTGCGTCCTGATGGCAGCCGTCACCACCCTGAGCCCCGCAGCCCGGGGGGCTGGAGCTGGACGGGGCCTGGCCACGGTGCCACGGGAAGCTGGCCGCCCCAGACAGCTCCTGGTGGCCCCCACTGCTGTCCCCCAGGGCGGTGAGGGCGGGAAAGAAGGGCTGCGGTCAGACAGTGGTGGAGGCCATCGGATCCACGGAGCTGCCTTGGAGCAGCCTGACTAGGGTCCCCAGGGCCACCTGGGCCACCGCAGGGGAGGAGGAGCCAGGGCCCGGCTGCTCCCTCTGTCCCCAGCTCCCCCCACCCCGCCCCCGCTCTTTCCCCCTCCCCCCGCTGTCCCCCGCTCTGCTCCCCCAACCCCGGCTCCCCCCAACCCCGGCTCCCCACGACCCCGGCTCCCCGTGTCCCAGGCTCCCCGAGTCCCCGGCTCCCCACGCCGCGGACGCAGAAACCCCTGCCCAGTTCTCGGGGTCCTCTACACCTGGAGGAGACACCCTGGTCCTGAAGGTCACATCACACAGGTCGGACGCCGCCCGCTGACAGCCCTGCCCACTCTGAGGGCTTCCGTGTGTGTGAGCCCGATTCTCTGTCCAGGGACGTCAGGCCCCAGACTGCACACCAAGAACAACRCCCTGCAGCTCTCTTGGCCTCTCTCGTGATGGTAGAATGGCTGCTGTGCCTCCAGCCACAGCATCCACATTCCAGAGGAGAAAGGAGGAAGAGGGGTGGAGAAGCGGTGGTGTGTGCTGATTGTTTCTTTCATAAGGAAATAAAAACCTTCCCTGAGCCACCGGCCACCTGTCTCAGTGCTCAGAGCCACGTCCCGGGACCTCCTATGTGAGGTCCTGCCCGTCCCCAGTCCCTCTCGCTGCCTTGCCTGGTGGGTCACAGCCTCGTGGCCTGGTGACGGGCAGCTGCTCCTTCCCGCTGCCTCCGCCGAGAGGACGCAGCCCCGAGGTTGAGTTTGGCCTCCCCACCCCCGGCCTCCCCAGGGCCGCCCAAGCTCCCACGCTGCCAGGGCAGCCACGGCCGGGGTCAGCACTCCCCGGGCCTGGACCCCAGTCCTCTGCCCTCGCTGTGGCCTGACTGTCCAGAGCCTGTGCCCGGGGACTCGGCCCAGAAGGGTGTGGGGCGCGGCGGGGGCAGGAGGTGCCCTGCCAGCCCTGACCCGCCCCCGGGAGCCCCCTGCCGTGGACTCTCCAGAAGCACAGATGGACCCTGCTGTGCCACGCTGTGTCCACCACTCTGACAGGCACCTGAGACGCGGCTGGGCTGGCCGACCGGGGCCCACCCACAGCTGTCCAGCGGGAGCAAGGGGGCGTCCGGAAGGAGGGAGGCAGAGGGTGGGCTGGGGTCCCCCAGGCCCCTCCAGGGACAGCGCCCAGTGACCGCAGGTGTCCTACCTCCCACACACCCTCCCAAGGACGCACCCTGCGCCTCCAGCCTTGGGGACAGCCGCGACTGCCTGACGGCTTGGCAGCCCAGGTGACCCACAGGGCCCACGTGCCACGGCTGGCCCACGGGACCCGAGCCTGATACACCTGTCCCCCTCGGAACCCCGGGGACCTTGGGGCTCTGCCTCTGGCAGACACGCTGCCTGGCCACGCCCAGCCTCACCTGTGGGAGTCCACCTGGAGCGCGCAGACGGCCACCCGTGAGGGCCTCCGAGCRGCCGAGGCTCTGACCCAAGTCCTCTGTCCTCGCTGTGGTCTGACCTGTCCAGAGCCCTGAGTCTGGCCTCCCACCGCCCAGGTCCGGACAGCGCCTGGCCTGATCCCGGCCGCCCGGGGTGGTCTGCGCTGTGGGTAGTTTGGGGGTCCCGTTTCCTGCTGGCTTCCCAGGGTGACGCGAGCGCCTCTGGGTGGATTTCAATGMGTTATCTTTGGGGACACGTGAAATGGGACCATGATCCAGCCGGGCGCGGTGGCCACGCCTGTCATCCCAGTGGCTTGGGAGGCTGAGGCAGGAGGATTGCCAGGTTGAGGCCAGCCTGGGCAACCCAGGAGGCCCTCACGAGGCGGGAGGCYCAGTCTGTAAATAAGACGTGCAAAGGGGCTGGGGCCGGCTCAGCGCCAAGCGCCGGGTTCCCCTCAGGTGAGAGTCAGACACACCCACCSCCCCACTCCTGCAGGCCGTCCCTGTCCTCTCAGTCCCTCGTGTCCCCTCCCTGCCTCTCCTTCCTCCTCCCCCTATTGGGAGCAGGTGACAGGGTCATGTGACAGGTTCCCTGGAGGTGACCCCWCGTTGCCCGGCCCGGCAGCCTGCCCGCTCTGCTCCTGCAGGGCTCTGGCGCCGCGTGGCCAGCGGTGTCTCGCCCCTCCCCGGCAGGGAGCACTGGCCTCCGACTCGCGGCTGCACCGCCCTCTGTCCGTCCACTGGTGACAGGCGCCAGGTGGTGCCCAGCTCCGAGTCGTGGTGGATGACGGTGCTCTGCCCAGGAAGCCTGAGCGCGGGAGTCGTGCAACTCTGCCGGCGCTCTGCCGCTGCCCGCCTCCTCCCGTGTCCGGAGCGCCTGGTGGCATGATGTGGTGTCTGTCCTGTCCCCTAGGCGAGGGCTCTGTGGGTACCTAGGGCCACCGCTCAGGGCCACCGCTCGGCCACCGCTGCGGGGTTGTGGCTTGGACGTGTGAGCCACCCATGCCCACCCCAGCCTGAGCCACCCACGGGTGACCTGCAGGTCCTCCCAATGGCTCCCCACCGCGTCCCACTCAAGAGGCTGACCCCGCTGCCATGGGTCCCACCTTCGCCCTGCTGGGACGCAGTGAGGGGCAGCTGGGGACCAGGCAGGGCACAGGGCCACCGGGCCTCCCAGTGACTTCACTGGTGGTCCCCCAAGGCCCCGTCCACGTCTGCAGGGTAACGTCACTGGACAGAGGTCTCTGAGATGAGGCCAAGCTGGGTTGCCTGGGTGGACCTGACCCAGTGACCACTGCCCGTACGTGGGACGCTCAGAGTGGCAGGGCGGTGACCGCTGGATGGCGTGGCCACGGCCAAGGAGAGGCAGGAGGGCCCCCGGAGCCTTGGTCTCAACTGTGGCCTCYGGAGCCGGGGGTGGGGGTGGCCAGCGGTGGCACTGGGCTCCCCGGTGGGACCGGGCCCTGGGAGGTGCRTCCCACAGTGGCAGCTGTGCCCACTCTTCCCCACCCCTCCCTGTCACCCTCAGGCTGCGGTGGCAGAGGTGACCCTTCTCCACCAACAGGCCAAGTGCTCAGGGAGCTCTGCCCTCGCGGGCCCTGAGGCGCGTCCCCAGGCGAAAGCGGGCGCCTTTGGGACATTGTCTGCCTCCTGGTTTAGGGGCTGTGACTCCGGGTCCCCAGAGCAGCCTGGGGTGGGTGGGAAGGACACCTTCAGGCAGGACGGCCAGGACGCGGAGGGACAGGGGACCTCAAGACTCAGCACCATGCAGGGTGAGGGGCGCAAATCGCAGCGGGGGCCAAGTCCACTGTCCTTCCCTGCCCGGGCCAGCAGCCGCCAACAGGGGAGGCCAGGCGTGCAGGGACAGCTGCCAGGGCAGGACACTGACCCTCTCAGGCCTGAGGGTGGGGACGCCTCCAGYGGACAGATGGATGGACAGATGGGTGGAGAGCACCTGGCCACAGCTGGGGCCTGGAGACACCAGGAGGGTGTGGTCCCTGAGGGGCCGCCTCCCCGGGGACAGTGGCATGGGACGGGCAGTGTTCTGCAGCGGGTGGGACACCACCCAGGGTGCAGCCGCCACATGCAGAGCGCGTGGGGGACAGCGCAGGGGCGGCCTGGCTCTGGGAGGACAGGGACCCCACGGCCCGAGCCTCTGTCACACCACGTGGACGGGTGCCAGAGGGGACCGACTCAGAGAGTGGCGGGGTCCATGCCTGGCCAGGGCTGAGAGCCCTGTCCCCGAGACACCCACCCACCACGGTGGCCCCAGGCTGGAAGGGGCCTCTGGGTCCTGTGGGGAGGCCGCTGGTCTTTCAGAGGACGCGCTGCTTTGGCCCCCCAGCCACRCAGCCTCCCTGTGGCGGGGCGGGGACAATCTGTTAGGGACACTGCAGCCCACCCTGCGGGCACCCTCCAGGTGACCGCCAGCCAGAAAGGAAGACGCGGACGGCGGACGTTGGAGTGAGCCTTTAATTCATTTGAACCTAGAGCAGGAAGTTAGGCCAAATACAGCGCGTCCRACATCTCGGCGGGGCCCTGGGTCCCGCGTGCGCAGGAGCTGTGCGACCCGCCTGCYGCTCGGGGCCACCACAGTCCTCCAGGGAGGCTGGAGCTGTCCCCAGGCCCTGGCCCCGCCCACTCCATACAATATAAATAGCATCTTGACCCACACGGGGACACAGGGACATGGGGACATGGGCGGCTGCTGCATGCAGAGGGTGCCCCTGGGCCACCGCACGCCCTGCCRCCTCGGGTCGCCCGGGCCACCCAGGCCTGGCGGCCACCTCCCTCAGACTCCCTCTGCCTGGCCACACAGGACACTTGGAAAACTCTTCTTTATACAGGCCGACCAGCCCTCAGCCCCTCCCTGGGGACAGGGGACGGCCAGGATGGAGAAGGCCGGGGGTGCGGGGCGGACACAGGTCAGGCCGGGCACTCCTCAGCCCACCCGGTGGCTCCCCATGGTCTCTCTGCGAGCCCAGGCAGGACGCACCTGCTCCTCCTYGGCCACACAGACCCACAGGTCCCTCTCCGAGGACATGGGACAGTGGGAGAGGAGGGTCCCAGGGGTCCTCGACACACAGGGCGGGCAGACAGTCGGGCTGGCCCCTGCAGCGCTGGACTCGCCCTGCACCCCCACGTCCACTAGGGGCCTCGCTGCGGAGGAGCGGGCAGCCCAGCCATGCTCACGGGAAGGGGCCCTCACGCCGGCCTGGGGACAGCCAGCCTGGGGACGGCCAGCCTGGGGGCGCTCCAACACTGCTCCTTGCCGGGCAGCGACCCTCCTGGAGAGGCCGTGGGTCCCAGAGGTCTGCGCAGAAGGACGGGCTGGGCCTGCGGCTCCAGGCGCAGAGGGGGAGGCCTGGCCACCCGTCAGGGAGCCCCAGCCAGTGGGTCCCGGCTGTCACCGCGTCCTGCCCTTCCGGGTGCCCTCCCTCCTGCGCAGTGGACAGGTGACATCTCAAAACAACACAAACAGAAACAATGGTGCCAAGGTGGCTTCTGGCTCTCAGCGCGGTCGGTTTTGCGAAAGAGAACGTGTCTGTCTCTCCGTCCTGTTGGTGGAGCCACAGACCTGAGAGGCGTGGCCGGCGGCCGTCCCTCTCTGGCCCTGACCAGGTGTCGCGGGGACCGCGGGCGGCCCTGTACAGTCGCGTGGCTGCTCAGCAGCAGTGCGTAGCACCTTGGAGAACGGGGCTCGCGGCGAGCCCCAGGCGTCCCGTGGGCGGCGCCAGCCACGGCCTCCCCAGCCCGCTGGCCCTGCTCCCTGAGTCCAGGCCGCATTGGCGTCCTGCTCGCTCCTGTCGCCCTGGAGGGGCACCTGTGGCGCAGAGGTGGCCTCTCGGCTGGGAGGCGAGGACAGGAATCCACAGCGAGCAGACGCCCAGGCCCACCGTGTCCGCCGCGCTGGGCTGAGGGTGGTTCGGCGGCCGCTGTCCTAGAAGGGGGCCCCGGGCCGGCCCCGCGCCTGCAGCAGGCTCTCCACGAAGGCCAGGTAGTCTGGGCTGCGTCCGGGGTCCTCGGTGGCGGTAAGCGGGGTGCCCACCCGYGGGCGTTTGGCGGCCTTCACCTCCTCGGCCGAGAAGGCAGGTCCCTGCGGCGCCCCGGTGCTGAGCGACTGCGGAGGCCAGARCGCACCACGGTGAGCGTGCGCGGGGCCAGGCCTGGGAGCCGCCCTCCTCGGCCAGTGGCCACCTGCAGGAACCCTGGACCTCGAGTGGGCAGCCCCACCCCCACCCCAGCCAGTGGCCCTGACAGTCCACCTGCCGGGCAGTTCTGTCCAGCTGTGCCGAGGGAGGGCCAYCCCACACCCCGCCTGCCCTGGGCCCCTGGGCCTTTGTGCTAGAAGAGAGAGGAGCCCAGCAAGCCGTGCGTGCCAGCTGCTGTCCCTGCCACCTGCAGGGCCAGTGCCTGCTCAGGAGGAGCCAGCTCTGGACAGCATTTCCTGAAGCGGCCAAGCGGGCGCTCAGGCTCTGCTCCCAGGCCCTGGGGAGGGCACTCGCGGGCTGCGGCCTCACAGCCCGACCCCTGCCCAGCCCTGGCAGTAAGGGCGGCCAGCGGCGCCCCTTCCCCTCAACAGGCTTGTGCCCCGGGGCCCGGACCCAGCTGCCCTCCTGCTGGGGAACAGCCAGGCGGGCCAAGGGGCACCTCTGCCCCAGGATGGCACCTCGCCCGGCCGCCACTCACCAGCCGCGAGCGCACCCTCTTGGGGAGCTCCTCCTCCAGGGTGAAGAGGTCCGCGCGCTTCACGGTCAGCTGGGAGCCGTCCTCAAACTCCACCTGGGGGTCACACAGGCCTCAGGGCGCTGACCCCGGCAGCCAGCCACCCTGAGGCCACAGGAGGCCAGCCAAGGCAGAGCCCCGCCCACCGCGCCTGCCGGGAGCCGCAGGGAGTGGCCCAGGGCTGTCCTCCGGGTCCTGCTGGAGGGGCAGCAGCAGCTGAGGGCAGCAGGGGCTGGCRCAGGCTCCGTGGGGGGACCCAGGCTGCGTCCCCCTCACCTCAGGCTCCACAGGGGGTGACAGATGGCAAAGACTGGCTCCCTGCAGACTTGGCTGTGGGCAGGGTGACCGCTGGGTGGACCCAGCCTGGTTCCCGGGGCCAGGAGGCGTGCGGAACTCGTGTGGGACTTCCTTAGCTCAGGGCGGCGGCGGCCCAGCCCCTGCCCAGGGCTCCTTGCTTCAGGGGTGGGTGCCCATGGTGACCACAGAGGCAGGTGCTGGGGCTCGGGGAAGGGAGCCCACTCAGGGCAGCSGAGGAGGGCGCCCCTCAGGGTCAAGCCCAGCAGCCGCCCCCCGGGGGCAGAAGGCTCTGGCTGCAGAGCCCTCACACTCAGTGCCTGTCACTCAGGAGCCTGTCACTCGGGGACTGGGGCACCGACGGCTGCAGGCTGGTGCCAAGGTGCGGGGGGCAGAGCTGCCTGAGCTGGTCTTGCCCGGGTCCTGGGGGGCAGCGAGGCCCTCAGGTCTGTGTGGAGTCCCAGAGCCTCTTCCGGCGCGGGTGGAAAAAGGGACCAAGCCGCCCCTTCCCTGCCCTTCCCTCCGTGGGGGGACTGGGGAGGGGGCCGCAGAGCCCCGCGGAGCCCGCCCCGGCCTTGGCGACCAATCACAGCCCACAGGCGGCTCGGGGCACCAGGGCTGAGCTCTGGGTGGGGAGACGCTGGGGCTTCCAGGTCAGGGGTGGGCAGGGGACGACACCCTGCAGGGCACACACGCCTCTGCCCCCTCCAGGGCTCCCAGGAGACACCGGTGACCACCTCGTTGTGGAGTGCGGGGGACGCAGCACTGGCTGGGCTGCAGGAGACCYCCTGGAGTCTGCAGGACCCCCGACTCAGCCCCTCTCCCAGGGCCGGGGTTCGGGCGGCAGTGTTGGGGRCATGGGGGATGGCCGAGACGGGGAGCCGTGCCTGCTGTGCGCTCCCCGCCCTCCTGGGCGCCAGCCCAGCTGCCCTGCAGACCAGGCCCGTGCCCCTGAGCTGCGCCAGCCTGCTCTTCCCCAGGGGAGCCCTGGGGGCTCGCGTCCCACTCACACGTGGAGCAGTAGTCCCCTGCAGAGCCACCCGGAAAGGCGCGAGTCCAGAGGTCCCCTCCCCGTGTGGGACCAGCAGCCTGTGGCAGTCTGCAGACACTCCCAACACGAAGAGCCTGGGCCCAGACCCCAACCTCAGCCCGCGTCACCAAGAGCTGGAGCGCGGCGCCCTGGAGGTGAGGTGAGGGTGGCTGTGGGGACCCTGGGCGCCCCCTGCTCCTTGCTGGACAGGCTCTGCATGGAGTGTCCACCCCAGCACAGTGCCCAGTGCTGCGGGAAGTGTGAGTGGCATGCCCCAGGCCCTGTGCAGGACACTGCCTGCTCCTGGTGAGGAGGCCCGGGGCTGGTCCTGACCCTGTCAGGCCCCACTCCAGGCGGGATGCGAGGCCCAGCCCCACGCAGGACTCCCCTCTCCGGCACCCACAGGCGTGGGCAGGACTCCCCTCTCCAGCACCCACAGGCGTGGGCAGGACTCCCCTCTCCGGCACCCACAGGTGTGGCCAGGCTTGACTTCCCACAGCCAGAAAGAGCCACCAGGTAGGGGGCTGGGGCACTGTCGAGGTTCCTCTGCCTGCACTGGCATGGACGGGCTCAGGTTGACCCAACCCCACTGGCCCTGGGTCTACTCAAGCCAACCAGGATGCCCAGCGGGCGGCTGGCAGACCCGAGGCGGCTTTGCAGATCTGGGCTGGGACTCTCCYGGGCCTCTGGTGGCTGGTGCAGGCCTAGGAGGGGCCACTGTGCCCCTGTGGCTGGAAAGCACCTGCTTTGAGCCCCAGGCTCGGGGTGTGGCCATGTCGCTGCGAGAGGCCAGAAAGGAAAACCCAGTGAGGCTGAGTGTGGTGCCTGGCGGGGCCAGACCTGAACAGGGCCAGGGCCAGGGCGAGCCACAGGTCCCAGGCCCTTGGGCACACTGGGACTCTAGTTCTAGTTCCAAATGCAGTGACATCTCGGGGCCATCTGTGGGGGCTGCACTTTCTTCCTCCATTTCTCTATTTTTTTGTACTGGGAACGGACCCAGGGACTGCACCAAGCTGCACCCCCAGATGTTTAACTTTCTCTTGGTGACAGGGTCTCACTAAGTGGCCCTAGTGGCTGTGATGACAGGCTGCCACTCTCTTTTTAACCCCAACTCAAAGGCCAGCGGAGAGTCTGGCTGAGAGACAAGGGGGTCAGGAAGCCCTGCCTGCGGCTGCGTGACCCACGGGACCCCAGGGCAGCACTGACGCAGCGCCCTGGTGGGGGRCGGGGCAGGGAAAAGCAGACCCAGGAGCCCAGCGGCGGACAGCTGTGCTGCAGAACAGGGGCTCGTCCTGAAATCACACTTTTAAAGAGTTTCCTTCCGTCATCATCCGGAGCCCCCAGCCCCCAGGAGGCTCCCCCAGGCCAAGGGCACAGGGGAGCTGCGGGCGACTCTGCCCAGCGCAGAGCAACCACCAGACAGTGGGGCTGGGGGCGGGGCTCCGCGGGCTGGGGGCGGGGCTCCGTGGCGGAGCCTAGTGTGCAAGGCAGTGGCGCGCCTCTTAGCCCCTCCTGTAAGTACACAAAGGTCCATCCACAACTTAAAAGAAAAACAAGACCAACCAGCCCCGCGCTTCCGTCARGTGGCGGGAGGGGGCACCAGCAAGCCTGGCACGCTGCTGGGGAAGGGCGTGAAGCTTTGCAGGGCCACAGGAGTCCTGCTCACCTGATAGATGTGACTGGTAATGGAGGAGATGAACCTGGCCTTGTAGAGGTTGCCGTCCGTCCACCGGAGCTCCACCAACTCGCCCTCGGGAGGGGGCCCCAGCCGCAAGCAGTCTCTACTCTGCAGACAGAGCACAAGTCCAGGGAGGCCCCTCTGTGCACCCAGCTCTGCGTGTGGCTTCAGGTTCCTCTGTCCCTTGGCCCAGAAGGGGGCGGGGTGTGGGGTGAGGGTGGGGGTGACTGCAGGGACAGGGACGCCGGGTGGGTGCGCAGCGGAGTGCGCCCTCCCCGGGCTCACGTGGGCAAGTGCTTTCTGCAGTTTGGGTGGGAACAGCTTTCCCTGCGAGGCTGAGGGCTGGAGGGGCTCCCTGACCGGGGTCTCCACCCCCGGCCTGTGCCTTCACCCTCCCGACCCCCCGGCTCACAGTGATGCTCTCAGGGTACAGGTTGTCGCTGTAGGAGCCGTCATCGAAGTTCACTTCGTAGAAGGTCTGCGTGGTGCTGCCGATGACGCGGCAGCGGTAGTAGAGCCCGTTGCGGTTCTTGGTGATGACCACCTGGCCTAAGGACACGGCCCTCAGGAGCTGGACCTGGGAGGGCGGGGGGCGGCTGTCAGCGGGGAGGGGATGAAGGGCGGTGGGCCGGGGCAGGACAGGCAGGGCCCTTACAGCGTGTCCCCCAGACTTGTGCTTGAGGCAGGTGATGGACACCACATAGGGCCAGTCGTCCGGCTCCATGAGGACCCCGGCGGCGTGGGCGCAGGTCACGTGGAAGGACGTGGAGCAGTGCTCGTAGGAGCACTGGATGCAGGCCCCCGACACCTTCTTCATCCTCTTCCGGCAGTACACACATTTCTGGGGGTCACGGGTAGAAAATGAGGCTCTAGCTGGGACCTCCCGCTTCCCAGGGGGAAGCCCCCTCTGCYAGGCCCCAGGACATTACCTAGGAATGACCCTGAGGCCCAGGTTAGAAGATGGAACCCTCCCCAGCACAGCCACCCTCACCCAAGTTTGGTGGTGACATCCTGGGGAGGCCCTGCCTTGTTGGGGGGCTTCTTCAGCTGCCCAGTCAGAGCCCTCCAGGGCACCCCCCTCGGCCTGCAGCCCTGTGAGCGGCAGGAAGCACAGGAGTGTGGCCGCCCCTCCACCAGGCCTGTGCAGGAGGGCCCACCGCAGCGCTCCTCAGCCAAGAGGAGCCGCGTCACGGGTGAGCCCGGGGACCCCGGAGAACACGCAGGCAGCGAGGAGGGCACCACACAGGCCACCCATGGCGAGTCCAGGACAGGAGGTGGATTTGAGGTTGCCATGGGCTATGGGAGGGGACGGGGTGACAGGGCTTCCCTTAGGGACGATGGAATGCTCTGGACCTAGCAGTGATGGTCGCGCAATCTAAAGACACTCCACCGAACGCCAGTGGATCGGGGTCCGGCTCAGGGTAGAGTCCCCAGCATCAAGTCTAGAAAACAGAACGGAGCCTCGTCCCTAACAGAAGCTGCAGGGCAGCCTCCTTTGTAATAAAGGACCCTGTAGGGTCACTACTATAGGCATCTGGCCTGTCCTTGCCCTGAAGAAGCATCAGAGGCCAAGCCCTGGGTAGCTGCCTCACCCAGGCTGGGCCACCCCACGCTGTCACCATGAGCGTTTAATAAGCAGGCCTTTATCGCTCTATAAACCACGTCCAAAGGCCAGATGAGCCCTGGGGCAAAGGGCCCGCAGCAGGGCCCATCGACTGCAGATCATGGAGGTGAGCTCTCATTATGAAGCTGCCGATACCTGCCGCCCTGCCAGTAGGGCCAGCCCAGCACCGGCCTGGCCCTAACCCAGCACCGGCCTGGCCCTAACCCAGCACCGGCCTGGCCCTAACCCTGCACCGGCCTGGCCCTAACCCTGAACCGGCCTGGCCCTAACCCTGCACCGGCCTGGCCCTAACCCTGTGGTGCGGGGCCTCCTGGAGGAGCCAAGGCAGAGCCGGAGCAGGGCACAGCCTCCACCCCAGAGGACCCACCCTGATGTCTACAGAGATCCATGACTGCCCAGGCTGCCCCCCAAGGTCCTGGGGCGTCTAGCTGTGACACCCTGCTTTGGCAAATGTGCAGCCGGCCGTGGAGAGCAGGGGAGCTGGCTCCCCCACTTGCCCCACACCAGCGGCCCCAGAGCCAACTCCTCCTCGAGCCTCTGGTTCCTCCAGGAAGCTTCTGGGTCCATCCCGGCCTGGCGAGGCAGATGAGCTCATGCTTCCATAACCCAGGCCCCGGAAGGACGCCCAGAGTGGGCACCAAGGCGCAGGCTCTGCGGTGTGGCCGCCGGAGGCCTGCAGGGGGCGCTGGGCAGCAGGCGCTCACGGCCTTCCCTGTGAGGCCCGAGAAGCAGCACACGCAGCCCCGTGGGAGAGGGTTTTTAATTCATCGTCACAAGTGCTCGCGACGAAGAGGCTGCCTGCTGGAAATGTCAGATGATCCATAAAGCGCCCGCCAGGGAGGGTTATCACTGTACCGTGCCCACACCACCGCTCCACCTGAATAATGAGGCTTTTACCCGCGTCTGTGCCCGACTCAGTGCCGCTGAAGAGGAGCCACCTGAGCCACAGGCCTCCCCATCGCCCGTCGGTGCCCAGCAGGGCTGGCAGCCACAGACTCTAAACCTGCCCCTGCTGTCACCTACTCAGCCTGCCCAGGTGGCCCTGCACCTGTGGGGCTCTGGGCATGTGGTCCTGGCCCCGAGGCCTGTGGGCTCCTGATGCCAGCTGCTCAGGGAGCCCAGGATCTGTGGTAAGGGTCAGTCCTGTCCCCCCAGGACTCTCTAGCAGGCCCACTGCCCGCCATACCACTCAGCAGCCTGGAGCGTCAACATCTAGAACTGTCCCAGGCACAACCACCAGCCAGGTGGCTGTCCATGTCCCTGGCAGAGGGGTAGCCCCTGGACAGCCGTGCACGGGCCGGGGGAGCTGCGTGTGCCCTCCGCCCCTGTGGCGTGAGGCTGCGGCAGCCCAAGTGCGGGCAGTGCCGAGGCTGCTCCTCAGGCGCTGTGGCCGCGCTCCCAGGTCAGGGCACAGGGGCACGCGGTGGGGAAGCAGGGAGGAGCAGGGCGGAGGCTGGCGGTGGGTGGTCACCCGCTCCAGGCCCGGATTCCTTATCTGCAGACAGAGGCCACTGCTGCCGCGTGAGCCAGGCGCAGGACCCTGAGCTGAACAGGGCTCCGGGGGCTGCAGGGAGGGTGCCCCGAGGGGGGATGGCCCTGCTATGCACTTTCCCTGCTGCAGGAGGGGCGCAGGCCCAGGGAGGCCCAGCAGCCTGCCCAGGTCCTGACCCCTGCCCACCGCCTGCTCCTCCTGCTTCCCCGGGGTGACTGGTGTCAGCACGGGCAGGAGGACACGGCCAGCCGGCGGAGAGCAGAGGCCCCCACAGCCACTTCTCCAACAGACACCTGCAGAGCAAGGGGACTGGGGAGGACAGGACCCCTCCCCACCAGGGAGGCGCCAAGCAGAGCTGAGGCCCAGCCTGCAGGGCAGCCGCCAGCACTGAGGGGGACCCGCTCCTGGGGACGGGGTCCAGACTGTGTGGACGTCCCGCAGCCACCGAAGGCAACCCTACAAAGGCGTCTCAGCATCCGCAGCCAACTGCCAGGCGGGGGGCCTGGGCGCCAGCAGCAACGGCCCCTCGCAGGACGCTCGGCCACGAGAGGAAATGACCGGCAGGCTCAGACCCACCTCGGCGACACCCGACCTGAGGGCAGCAGCAGGTCCCAGGACACAGGCCGCCCGGCTCCTCTGTGGCGAGGGCCCTAACCTGGGCGACCCCAGAGCAGGGGAGCACTGGGGGCAGGTGGGGGGGCCCACGGGACGTCACGGCGGTGGTGACAGCGCAGAAAGCACAGGAGYAGCAAGGCCAGCGGGGCTGGGGGACTGGGGCTCTCTGCACAGGGGCCTGAGCGGGCCTCGTGGGGGCTGGGCTGGGCTGGGCCTGTCACCAGGCCCTAGTCTGCTGGCTCTTGCCCTGGGCAGTGTCCGTGGACCCAGGTGGCCCCGAGGGYTGGGGGCAGGCCTGGGCGGGGCACCTACCAGCTTCCACCGCTGCTCGGGAATGCCCCCCACATCGACAGGCTGGCGTTCGGCCACATTCAAGAACCGCACCTCAGGGACGGCGATGGCACAGATGACGTGGATCCACCTGRGAGAGCAGGGTCAGGGGTCACCGGGTCGCACCTGGTGGTCGGGACGGTCACAGGGGTTGCTGGGCCAGACTGGGCAGGGCCGACAGTGAGTGGGAGGGGAGGGCGGGGCCAGGGAGACAGGCTCCACCCGGGAAGTGGCTGTCAGCTTGGCTGGGAATAAGGGACCTGGAAGGGGCACTGTTCACCCTCTCCCGGAGTCACCCTGTCCAGCACAGGGAGCTGGGAGGTGACGGCTGGCGCTCGGCGCTGGGGACAGGAGGCTGGGGGCACCCACCTGCTGTCGGTGGTGGTCTGCAGTGCTCCCCCCCGGAGGTTACACAGGCAGCACTCCTGTGGGCAGACAGCGAGGCCGGGGTGAGGCCACCTCCCACCCTGTCCTCATCCACCCAGAGGCCACCAAAGGGACAGGCAGGAGGTTGTCGGGTTCCACGCTCAGCACAGAGGGAGGAGACCAGGCCACAGGCCCCAAGGCCAACCCCTGGAGAGGGCGGGGCTCAGAGTTACCGCAGTCCAGGCATGCGCTGTGCACCGGGAGCACGTCCAGCCGTCCTTGACCAGCTCGGGGCGGACGCCATAGCAACCTGGAAGGCAGCAGAGGCGGCTGAGACCAGGGAGATGACCCGTCACCAGAGCTGCATGTGGGGCCAGGGTCTCAGAGCCAGGGGTGGCACTCAGGCAATGGCTCTGACCCCCCTCAGCCCCAGCCCAGGCCACCGCACATGAGTGGGCGGCTGCMGAGCTGGTGGGGATGTGACGTGCGGCCCACCCTGGCTGCCCTCCTGTCCTGGCCAACCCCAGCACCTGGAGGCGCGAGGAGGGTCCCCTCCACTCTGCAGGAAGCAGCCCCCCCACCAGAGTCAAGACCCGGCCTCAGGCGGGACTTATGCCAGCACAGTGGGAGGCAGGCGGACACCACCCACTTTGCAGTGTGGCCCTGGGTCTGGAAAAGGGGAGAGGATGGCAGGGGCGTGGGCGGCTGAGTCAGGCCCAGAGCAAGGGTAGGCACTGCCTGCCTCSGGGCTCTGTGTAGCCATGGGAGGGGGCTCTCTGCCGGTGGCGACCCCCCATCTGGCTGTGGCAGGCCTGAAACCCTGCAGCAGGCCCCCACAGAGCTCGCAGCCCAGCAGGAGCACCACAGGGAGGGRTGGCAGCAGACCTCCCCAGCAAGCACAGGGACTGAAGGTGCTCAACGCTCTGCCATCTTAGAGCCACGCTGCCCCTGCCCCGAGGAAGGGACGTACCCATCTTACTGCTGTGCCTGGGCACGCCTCTGAGCAGGGCAGGTGGCACAGTGCCGACAGGTCAGCCCGGCTGGGTGGGCATCACCTCCCCACAGGGGTCACGGGTGCCTGATGGCACCTCATTGCGGAGGACTCACAGGAACTGGCCAGCAGCCCTGTGGCCAGATGAAGTGCAAGGACACTGCCCAAGGCCACCCAGCAGGGACAGACTGGAAGGAACAGGGGCCCCTGGCTCGTCTCTCTCGCAGACGCGAGACCAGGCCAGGCCAGCAGGCACCTGGGCCATACCTCACCTCCTGGGCACTGCGGGCCATGGGGTCACCCCTCCCTGGCTGGCCTGGCGAGACGGGGCCCTTCTGGTCCCAGATCTGCTGGTCACTCCCCCTTAGCCAGCAGCTGGCCAGCGTACGGGCGGCCCCGCCCCACACCAGACAGCGGGCCTCCAGCACCCCGGCCCGAGACGGGAAGGGCGGGCAAGGGAACTGCAGGACTGCTGCAGGGGAGGCCTGCCTGCCACAGACCCCCCACCCGCTGCACCTGGGGGCACTCACTGGCATGGACCTGCAGGCAGCACTTGGCACAGGCGATCAGCGGGCTGGTCCCCTCGTCGTCCACACAGGAGCTGGCGGGCAGCGGCTCAGTGTTCCCCCCACTGGAGGTGAAGCACATCTCTGGGATCAGAGGCCGAGTCTTCTGGCCGCTTTTGGAAGGTGGCGAGGCGGAGGGGCCCTCCCCAACAGAGGCTGGCGGGGCCTCCTTCTCCATCTGCAGGGACTACAGGAAGGGGGAGCGGAGACCTGGCTCAGGACAYGGGCACCCGAGTCCTGCTGTCGCAGGCCAGGCGTGGCCACCCCACCTCCACCCACCCCGCCTCTCACCAGGCCCTGCTGAGGGTCCTGGAGGGTCCCACACCCGGCTGCAGCCTGTCTGGCCTGCTCAGGGTCACACCCAGGCTCAGCACCACGCTGGCCAGTGCAGCCCCAGGGTGGTGGCCTGCGGAGGGGGACGTGACTAGATTGCTCCCGCTGCTCAGCTCAGCAAGGGGATTCCTGGCACTTTGACTCCCAGCAGCCTCTGGCCACAGAGAACTGGGGAGAGAACATGTTTGGAGACTTCTAGAAATGACAACTTGTGTGTCTCAACGGCCAGAGTGCAGGTGTCAGCAGCTCAGGGGGCAGGACCTGGTCACTGACAGGCCACCTTGGAGGGACACGTGCCCCTGGCCTGCTGCCCCTCCAGGCCCCACGCCTAAGCACAGCCCTAGGCTCAGACCCTCCCAGGGCAGCGTGGCAAGGCCTGGGAGAGGGGTGCGCCATCCCGTGTCAGGGGTGTGCAGACCCAGGGGGGCAGAGCCGAGGGGATCGTCAGGCGAGGCAGGCACGGTGCACACCTGCCGTCCCAGCTGCTCAGGAGGCCGAGGCAGAAGGTCCCCAAGTCTGAGGCCAGCCTGCGACTTGGCGCGGCCCTTGGCAGGGGCCGGGAGGAGCTGGGCCTCAGGCATGAGGCAGATGCACCGGSGAAACGGCACTGGGCCCGGGCTCCTCGAGGTGGTGGCCCCACTTCTGGCTCTGGCTGCCACATACCAYCCTCAGCCCCTGCCAGCGCCTGCCTGCTGGTCCCTGCACGCCTCCGTGCCCCTTCCACCCGCTGCCCCTGGGGTGGGGGAAGGGGCTAGTGCCCTCTCTGGGGAGACAGGGAGGCCTGCGGCCAGCTGATCCCACTGGCTCTTGGGAGGAACTGCCGTGGACGTGGGATCCCCCTAGGCCAGTCATGGCAGCGGTAGGGGAGAGGCCGGCCCTGGGCCCCGGCACGTGGCTCACCTGGCTGTAGGGGTAGAAGAGGGTGCAGATGGCGCAGTAGGGCTCAGTCAGGGCGGCTGCGGCGTTGAACTTGCGCTCGGCCTGGAAGCTGGCCGCCTTGTTCTTCCACTGCAGGGACAGCAGGGACCTCAAGGCCTCGGGGTCACTCACGTCCTCCTCCCCGGAGAAAGGCAGGGATTCTAGCACACAGCCGGGGAGCAGGGCAGAACTGAGTGCCCGACGCGGACCAGGGACCCACCTGCTCTCACACCACCTCAGGCAGGGTGGCCCGCCCCACGTGACGGGACACTTCTGCAGGCCCAGCTGCCCCGGCAGGGGTCCCAGACCCATCACTCGCCACCACTGACCTGGCACTTCCTGGCCTGTGTCCCGTAACAAGGTGAGGACACATTTGACCTGTTCCTCAGAGTTTCCCCAGAGCTTAAGGCCCAGGGTCCTCAAGAATGGTGACCTCACCCAGCCAAGGACCCCCAAAGACGCGGTGCCCTTCCCTGCCCTGCCACCTAGGCCCTCCCAGGCCTGTCTGGTGGGAGACGGTGCCTGGGAGAGGCTGGGCCTCCTGCCATCGCTCCAGCCCCCGCCCATTTCTCTGCGCTCAGGCCATGTGGCCAGCAGGCTCATGTCCACAGAGAGGCAGGCTGGGACTGTGACTCAGGTGAAGGCAGGTCACGGGCATCTCAGACTCCAGGGGACATGCCTGCTCAAGAGGCTGCAGTCCCCTTGCCCCGCAGCCTGCTGCCTGTCCTCAGCTGGAGCACGTGGTCCCGTGACCATCTGGTTGCCCACGGTCTTTCCTGATTCTCCCGTGGTCATGGAGTGCTGTCCCCAAGAAGCAGGGTGCTCCTTCGAGGCCCAGCCTGCAGCCCAGTGGGCMTCCTGGAATTCTGGCTTGGTCGGCTGCGTGCCAGTCCGGGCTTACCCGGGGGACGCCATCCCAGGCCCCTGACACATAGGCCCAGACCCCTGGGGCAGGGCAAAGGACCTCAGGCTGACTGCTCTCCTGGCCCCAGGCAGTGGTCCCGCCAGCATGGGGCAGGGAAGGCCCCAAGGGGCCTCAGGAGCCTGGGTGAGAGGAAGCGGCAGGCTCCTGCCACCAAACCCTCCTGAGCTTCAGATCAGACCCAGGTGAGAGAAGTCCACTCGCGATTTTGACTCCACATGCATCTTAGCCAAAGCCTGAGGGGAGGCAGGACACTGGCTCAGTCCCTGGGTGGTGGCCGGCCCGATGACGGCTGGCCAGGAGGTCTCCCTCTGCTGGCTCCCCTCTGTCACTTGAGGACAGACCTCTACCCCGGCTGTTTCTCTGGACGGACAGGGTTGAGGCAGGGAGATGAGAAGGGGACGCCCACTGGCCACAGCTGAGAGCTCCCGCTGCCCAGGCTCTCCKCGACCACATCCAAAACCTCATCTGCGAGGAGGGCCAGAGCGCCGCCCACACCCACACGGCACCACGTGCAGCATCTTAACAGATCCCGAGGCTGCGGGAGGCTGGGGTGGGAGGCTGGGCTGGGGGCTGGGCAGGGCCGAGTGCTCAGTGCGTGGGCGCTRGTGGACGCAGCCCGGGTCTGGGGCAGGAGCTGCTGGAAAAGCAGCATCAGCACAGCTGGAGGGTGCCACCAGGGCCGGAGGCAGCGAGGCCACAGCAGTCACCGCAGCCTACCACCTGGCACAGCCACCGAGCGCCTGGCACCAGGCCATGTGATTCACAGGCAGCACCCCCTCATCTTCCTGATGGGGCCCCTCAGGGACCAGGAGTCCCCTTGCACAAGTGACGACACTGAGGGGCCCAGGTCTGGGCCTGCCCTGCACCAGCCATGGATGCTTCTGCCCTGGGTCCAGCAAGGCCAGGCACCCAGGGTGGGAAGCAGGGACCTGTGCGCGGGCCTGGGACAGTGTAGGAGCCACAGGTGGAGCACTGGGGCTGTGGGCTCCCCTGGGGCCCGCGGGTGGCAGTGTGCCAGGGAGGCCAGGCGCCAGACAGCCTGGTCACAGCGGGTGATGGTGTGGGCAGAGAAGGCCAGGTAGGGGCGCTGCTTCCCAGGTGACCTGCCAGTGAGGGGGACCAGGGAGGAGTGCAGCTCCAGGGGGCAGATGGCCTGGGGCCCTGGCTGCACTGGGGGCTCCAGCCCAGGGCAAGGGCCACCCGGGAGGGGCCCCGGCTCACCCTCGTCACTCGAGGCCTCCTGCTTGACCACGGACAGCGGGGACCGGGTGGGTGGTCTGCCCAGGGGGTGGCGCCGGCTCTTCTTGATCTCCATCTTTAATTTGGGAAAGGACGCTGGTACCTGAAGCAGAACACACCGTCCCCATGAGGCATGGCTCCCTGGCCCCGGAGCAGGCTGCAGCTGGGCGCCAGCAAGGGATGATGGGTGTGACTCTGTTCCAGATCCCGCCTGCCACCTGCCACCTGCCCGTGGAAGAGCCTCAGGTGCCGAGCAGCATGAGCAGGCCCAGCGAGGACCCCGTCCGACACCTACCTGCGCCGCCCCGGCGTGGCCCCTGGTGTCCTCCTCGGGGCCCGTCAGCTCCATGGGGGCAGCCTGCGGGCCGGGYGCGAGGTCCTTGTCAGGCCCGGCCGTGCTGGCCCGGGGCACCACGTAGAGCATGGGGATGATGGGCCGCGGCCGGGCCTCGTGCTCCTCGCTGGGCGCCTCGGGGAGCACCACGTTGAGGGGTGCGGGCGGCGGGCTCTCCTCCGAGGCCGCAGARTCTGGGAGCAACACCGGGGGCTCCAGCGAGGGCGGCAGCCGCAGGGCGTCCTCGGCGGGGAGTGGGGCTGCGGGAGGTGGCGGCAGCTGGGGCGAGAGGGGGCCGTGGCTCTTCTTCTTCCGGTCGCTCTTGGCCTTGCCTGGCCGCAGCTTGCCCCGCCCGTCCTCTGTGGGGAGAGGACAGCGCTCGCACCCGGCCGGGGGCCACCAGGCCCAGGGCCCCGCCTGCTCTGCCTGGGGCTCTCCAGGAACACCCTGGCCAAGCAGGGGCTGCTGGGGTGCAAGGTCCCCTCTGGCCCAGTGGGCAGCGCCAAGTCAGCAGGGGTCACTGCTGGGATTGGAAAGCTGGCCTCAAAGTGGCTCCGACCCTGAAGTCCTGGAGGACCAGGCTGGTGACCTTCAAGTGCTTCTGGATGAGGGCCCAGCACAGGTGGGGGTGGGGGGCAAGACGCACCCCTGCGGCCTGGGCTGCTGCCTGGGGACTAAGTAATGCTGGAGCAGGGCACAGCGACAGGTGGCCAGGGGTCTGGGACAGCCCTGCCCGGAAGCCCCCAGCACTGGGGAGCCTGCTGCAGGGGGTGGGAGGGGTCAGGGGAGGTGGGAGGGGTCAGGGGAGGTGGTCTTTAGTGGCATTTTATCTGGTGCCAGAACAAGCAGGCAGTGAGACGGGGGTGTGGGTAGCAGAGTTGAGGCCCTCAAAGATGGCCACACCCTGATCCTCAGAACTGTGACAAAAGGGACTCTGTATATGGGACGAAGTGAAGGGCCCTGAGCTGAGGTCACACAGGGTCCTCCTGAGAGAGGGCAGCAGGGCCAGAGTCAGGGGGCCTGAGCACACAGCGCTTTGGGCCCTGGAGCTGAAGGAGGGGGTCAAGGATACTCCCTGGGGTCTCGGGAGCTGGAGGAGGAGGCTGTGGACTCTTCCTGGGGCCTCCAGAGGCCAGCCTGCGGCCCTGGGTCTGCCCTGACCTCCCAAACTGAGAGATGCCATATTTGCACTGCTCTGGGCCCCTGTGCTGGACATTCACCACTGTGACCACAGGGTGCTCTGGCATAGGGTGTGGAGTGGGCAGCCCAGACCCTGCCCTCCAGGAGACCAGCCTACAACCGTCCATGCTGCCGCCCGGGGCTTGCTGGCCCCACGTGGAGAATGGGGACACAGGTCCCACTGCCCCCACACCGGCCTCCGCGGCAGGGCACAGGGGCAGCCCTGAAGCCCCGCTGGCCATCYTACTTCACCGGCCTCTGGGGCAGCACAGGACTTGGCCTGAGGGGTTTGCAGGGCAGGACACAGGGGGTCCAGAATGTGGCCCGAGCACCTGGCCCTCAGGGACTCGGCACCCAAAGGAGGAAGTGGGGGAAGGAGCGGAGCCCCTCCCAGGCCACCGCACACCGCAGCGGGGCTCTGGCTTAGTGCCTCTGGCCTCCAGGAGGGACCAGGCAGCAAGGACACACGGGACCCTGACCAGCACCACACCTGCCCAAGGGGCTGAAGGATCCAGAGAGCCCCTCCCCAGGACAGAGAGGCCTSTAAGGGTGGACGGGCAGAGGCCCCGTCGACCTTTCTGGGAGGAGGAAGGACATGGCCAGGAGGCCCCTCCATGGGTCTCAGCCTTTTGGGTTTGGGCTTCCAACAGCGTCCAGGGCTAGGCCCAGGGTCCCAGGCCCAGGCAGGCCCAAGGCAGTGCTGCAGAGGGCAAAAGCCACGGCCTTTCCCAGGAAATGAGCTCCGTGCCTGCCCCGAGGCCGGCAGACCTGCGCGGGCCCTCCCGGCRGCCGCCTCGCCCACCCTGCGCAGTGGCCAGCCTGGCCTGGCCATCCCCAGCGTGGGGCCACCCTCAAACACGCTCCACAGTGGGGAGGCAGGGTGTGGCCGGGGTCTCCTGGGCAGCCTCGCTCTGCCGGCCAGAGGTGAGGTCCCCTGGGGCGCAGCCGGGGCAGCCAGAGGGCTGAGCAGCTGCAGCCGAGTYGCTGCTGTCCAGCAAGGCAGGGCCCTGGCAGAGGCCTCCCCCGGCCTCCACCGGTCCCTGCAGGCAGCTGCTCTTCCARGACCTAGGGCAGTGGGAGTGGGCAGGGACACAGGCAGCCGGCCGAGGGCCTGTGCCTGCAGGCTCTGCCCCTGCCCACCTCAGGGGTGACAGGCTCMGACGTCCTCGCGTCTGGGCTCCAAACCGGGGCCCAGAGCAAACACCCGAGGGGATCCTGAGCAGTGGGGCTGGGGGTGCTCCACAGGCCCCTGCGCTCCCCCCACGGCAYGCGGTGCTGCCTGCAGGAGGGCCGCGTCCTGTGGGAGCCCCCACCTCCCCAAGCCTCCCCTCAGGAAGGGGGCTCTGGGGGGCACAGGGCTGAGGACCAGGCGGGCGCCAGCCCTGGGCAGGGAGTTGGCGCAGCTCCTGGCATGAGTGCCAACAGCCCTGCCCCACGCCCACGGGCCCTGCCCATCCCAAGCTCACTCCTCTCAGTAGCCCCCGCAGCCACAGCACTGCCACCACCTCACRGAGCCCTCAGGCCTGAAGTCCCACGGTCCCCGACAGGGGCAGAGCAGCCGGGCCAGGTGCCCCCAGGTCTGGCCCTGCAGCTGGACTGCAATGCGCGTCCACCCCAGCCAGGGGCTCCCTCCCATCTGGACAGCCGCGTGCTTGGAGTGGGGACACTRGCGAGGAGGCCAGGTGTCTCTGGGCAAGGGCTGTGGCCTGAACAGCTGGACTCTACTTGTGAAGGGACGCATTCCCCTGGTGACAGCAAAAGCCCTTGTCCAGCCTGAGGCCAGCCAGGCCCCAGTCTGTGGAGAGGGGGGGACCAGCGCCTTCCCGACTCCCGAGTGCCCTCCCTCCAGCTGCCAGCACTTCACGTCACCCCACGGGGCCATCCCACCCCACACCCCACACCCACTGGGTCCCCACAGGCTGGAACGTCCTCCCAGATGGGGGGACGGGGCGGGTGGGCCTGGGCCTGACCCCTGCTCTCCACTGACTGTCCTTCCCTCAGCGGACCCCTCGCCTGAGGCCAGGAGCCGCTCATAAGGGGCTCCACCACAAGCTGGCCCACGCCCAGCAGGGCCCTGCAGCCCCTGGCCAGCCACGCAGGGAGCAGCACATGCCCGCTGCAGCCATCTCTCCCTGTCCCTTGCCACAGCCCCAAGTCCCCGCTCACCCCGCGGGGCCGCCTGGGGGAAGCAGTTGGAGCCCACCCCGACAGCTCACGACGGCCCCTGACCCAATGGAGTGTGCGTCGCGCAGGGCCCAGGGGGGCCTCTGGGAACGGCTGGGCCCCCTTCCCCACGGGCACATGCCCAGCAGCCTCCGTCCGGCCCAACCCTGGGCTGAGAGCGTGAGCCGGGGCGGGCCCTGGGCGGTTCCGYACGGCAGAGCCTTGGCAAAGGGCAACCTTGCAGGGCCAGGGAGGGCGCCCAGGAGGATGYGGTGTGGGCGGGGCTGGGCAAGGAAGCCTCTGCCCACGCCGGAAGCTGGACATGCAGCCTGYAGACCCGCGACCTCCTTCACCCCAGCGAGCGCACTTGGGCACGGCACGGGATCAGCCCCCCACGGCGGGGGTTGCTGGGGGAAGACTCAGGTCACCCGGGTGCGGTGGTGGCACCTTCCAAACTGGAGACCAGTGGACCCAGACTCCAGGTCCCCCAGGCCACGTGAGTCGCCACACACGAGGGTCACCGCAGGGCATGGAAAGCTGTCCCTCCTTTCTCAGCCTTGTCCCTTCCCAGCCAGGGGCCTCCTCTGCTGCTGCGTCCAGGGTCTTCCAGCTGTGACGGTCCTCAGCGCTCCCAGGTGGTGGCTGCTCCCTGTTGGCAGTGGTGGCCGCAGGACCTGCGTGCGTCTCCACCAAAGCAAGCTGCCGGCCTCTCCCCTCTGGGCCGTGGGTGTGGCCAGCAGGCCTGTCCGCCTCGGCCTCCCTTCCTGACCAGGTCCTTGTCACAAGCCTCCTCGGGACTCCTCTCTCAGCTTCAGGTCTTGCTCGTGGAGTGTTTGACGCTGTCGATCTTTGTTCCGCTGACGGCCTGACTGTCCACCTGCTTAGACGTGGTGCTGAGGACAGAGCCCGGGCTCGGAGGGCGAGGGACTCTGCAGCCCAGCCCAGCCCAGCCCAGCCCAGCCCCCGTGCAGTCGATCTTGATCTTGTTGGTTTGTGCTTTGTAACAAAAAATTAGCCTAAAATCCCGAAGATTCATCTTCCACCTCGGGTGTGTCTTCCCAACACAAGGCTGAGCCAGTGGCAGACGATGGCCCTTATGAGGCCACAGCCTGACCTGGACTGAMAGGCACTTCACGTGGTTGAACGGGCCCTCAGACAGGATCAGTGAAGGGTGCTGAACTGGGGTCACCCAGGGCCACTAAGAGTCCTCATGGGAGGAGGCAGGAGGGCCAGCGTCAGAGGGCCTGGAAGACGCTGCGCTGAGGGCTCTGGAGCCGAGGAGGGGGACGTGGACTGTCCCTGGGGCCTCAGGAGGGCCAGCTGCTGCTCCTGGGTCTYGCCCATGGAGGTCCATGTCACACTGGGACCTGGGACTGTGACAGGGTCAACAAGCATGGTCTTAGGCCCCAGGCTTGCGATCGTCGGGCACAGTGGCCACAGGGAGCTTGACCTGGCCACAGGATGGGCAGTGGGAGGGACGAGCCTCCTGCTCACCTTCCAGGAGCCCTGCTCCAGGGACCCCACTCCTGGGCCCTCGATTTGTGCGCCCTTCTCAGGGCCTGAGAGACCAGCCGACGGCCAGTGCCCATGTCTGGAGGGCTGCAGCCTCTGCAGCTCTGCTCGTGGCCTCACCCACCGGCATCTACACCACAGGCCTGCAGGCAGGACGTGGCCGCTGCAGGCAGGACGTGGCCGCTGCAGGCAGGACGTGGCCGCTGCAGGCCTGGAGGGCCTGGCTGGGGCCACAGAGGCCCAGCTGCCTGGGGAGCGGCTGGCACATCAGGCGTCCTCCTGGGCAGCCACTCTGCCCGACTGTCCAGCACTCCACTCTCCCAGTCGCCTTCTCGACGAAGCCTTCATGACTGGTGGAGTACTCCAGGYCGCTTTCGGCCGCTTTCGGCTGTTACAAGTGGCCTCTCTCTAAGCCACGCCCCCTTTGCATGGCTCATGGCCAAGACTCGCCCCCGGGCTGCTGGGCTGGCCAGAAGCTTCTGCTGGACTGGAGTCGCTGCCCGGCGAGTCTGTAGTCCCATGGCTTCCTCACTCAGGTGGACGCCCCCTGGGACCCTCTGCTGYTGCACACTTGTCCTTTTCCTTGCTGGTCTTGCCTCGGGCGGCTGACCCTCCTGTCCCGCTGCCCCAGGGAGCAATGCCAGGACCACTCTGCCCATGCCACCTCTGCCCTGGGACCCGCTGACAAGCAGCCCCACCGGGACCTGTGCACAGGGAGGGTCAGGGAGGGAGGGCTGCCCTCCCCTTCCTTCCCAGGGGCACGCGCCACGTGCACAGGCGCCAACACAGGCGTGAGCTGGGAGCAGGAACCCAGTGACAGGGCGAGAGGGCGAGCCGCACATTAGCAGGGGCCTTTAAAATGCTCGTGGATGGAGATTCCACAGCCCACGTGTCCCCTGGGGGGAGGGCATTTTCATAAAATGTGCCCAGTAAGACGCTGCGGGCCGGGCCCCTGGGATCAGGCGCCTGGCAGAGGGAGTGCCAGCTCCTTCCAGGACACAGGGAGCGGGGCGGGGTGGCCTGCCCCAATGCCAGGGTGACGGGCTACACTAACCTTCGGTGCCCTCGGCATCCTGCAGAAGGCCCTGGGGCGGCTGCAGCTCTTCTTCCTCCTCCTCCGGGTCGGCCTCTTGTGCGGCCTCCTCCTTCACACAGCCTCCAGCCTCCTCCAGAAGGGCTGCCGCGGCGGCTCCCTCCTCTGGAGATTTGGGGTCTTCAGCCTTGGGCTTCTTGGGCTGAGTCCGCTTCCGGTGCGACCTGGAGAAGGAGGCCTGTCAGGCAGGAGGGCAGACACAGGCAGAAGGCCGCCCACCCRCCTGGCCTGCTGGGCTGAGGCGGGAGGGCGGCGGCTGGCGGCTGGAGGTGGGATGCTGCCCAACACCCGGAGGGACGATGGAATGGGCGGAGCGAGCGCGTGGGGCGGGAGACACAGGGTGCAGACTCATGGAGACAGCGGCCGCGTGAGATGCGGGCCGGCTGGGGACAGGGGTGCACTTACGCCGGCCCCGGCTTCCTGGTCTGCTCTTTCCTCCTCTCTAGACTCGGCCTCCTCTCCTCCTCAGTCTTTCTCCAGGGTCTGTTTTCCTTCACACTAATTTGTCTAGAAGGTAAATTTCAGGGCGTTTTTCTCTAGTGCTTCTGTGGGGCTCCCCAGGATGCTCTGCTGGGGGCCTCACCTTGAGCATGCCCCCCACTCTCCGGGTCCCCTCTCTGCAGGCCCACGGACACACAGGGTCTCCCAGCTCACCCATGCAAGGCTCCTTCCCAGCCAGGGCCCGGCCAGAAGGAAAGCCCAGCCCCATGCCCAGCCCTGGCAAAGGGACACGCCAGGGACCTGGGGTGCATGGGGATGTCCCTGGCGAGGAGCTCAAGCTGAGGCCAGCAGGCTGTCCCGGGGGYGCGGGGTCAACAGGAGGACAGGCGCAGTGGCAGGGGAGGAGGCCTGCCTGTTAGAGGCTGAGGCCTTTCCAGGCTGGGGACGAAGCCAAGGCCTGGGGGGGTCACTAGTGCTCTCTAGCAGGTGGAGACACCTGCGGCCCTGTCCCCCAGGGCTCTGTACGTGGCCATGTGGCTTCCTGGGCCCCAATGGACTTCCTGCCTGCCCCTCCCCACAGTTGAGAGTCACTGGCTGAAACCCCACTTGCAGCTGGACGGGGCCACGGCCATCTTAAGGTCCTGTCTAAGACAGCTGGCCCCCTTGCCAGCAGTCCCCGTCCCTAGGTCACTGAGCCCTGCTGACCCTCCTCTTCCTAATCAGAACCACTGCCCCCTGCCAGCCCCGGGCCTGTTCTTGCTTGTCCCTGAGCCCAGAGAGGCCACCCAATGTTCGCAGCATGAACCCCACGAGATGACCAGCAGCAGAAGCAGGTGGAGCATTCCAGATGGGACACAGGGAGAAGCGTCACAGGGGGGCGTCACACAGGTGGGGCACACGGGTGCCACAGGGAGCACAGGCAGGTGGGGAGGAAGCAGGGACACCGACAGGGAGGAGCGAGGACAGGCCTCTCCAGCAGGGCAGCACCACCTCCAGGCAGCCTGGGGCTGGGGACGCAGCTCAGGGACGCAGTCTGGGGCTTGTCCTGGGGTCYGACTGCGTCCAGCTGCAGGGCTGGGCTTCAGGTGCAGTCCCCTGCGACCCAGGCAGCACTCAYAGGCGGCCTCCTCCCTCCTCACCCGCCCTGGGCTCCTTGCACCRGCCTCCAGGGCAGTCCCCGTCCCCACCCTGGAGGTCTCTCCCCTCCATGGAGGACCCAGGGTCCCTTAGGCCCTCGAGCCACAGGCGGCCTCCCAGAGCTGCGGCCCAGGACGGCCCTGGGCAGCTCCCCTGCTGGCCCCCAGGCCCCACACCCAGGAACACCAACTGCCCACTGCAGTTGGCGCGGCCTCCACCTGGGAGCAACACCAGGGAATGGCCCCCGTATGGGCGGGGCGCTGGCGCCTGTGGCCCCTAAGCCGCTCTGTCCCGCCTCTCCTCCGGTGGCCGTTCCCCCTCAGGGCCCCTCACCTTCCCRGACAGGGCGAGACGTGAGGCCCCGTGGGCCTCCTCAGACCCTACCACGCTGCTCCGGGGGCTGGGGACCCCTTCTCTGAGTGCCAAGTGTCCCCGGCACCCCAGGGGCAACAGGTGGCCCCAGGGCACTGTGCTCTCCTGCCCCAGGTGTGTGGGTCCACTGACCCCACAGAGCCCCCTGAGGGGAGGCATGGCCAGTGGCTCTCTGGGAGGGGGTCCTCCTCTGATGTGGAGGCCCTGTCTTTGTGGGCTGCTCCAGGACTTCGCGGCGTCACCCGCTTGCCCTGCCAGCAGCCCCGAGGCCGCGATATGAAGTGGGGCTGGCCCTTCTTGCCCTTCCTGAACCCCCAGCAGGGCGGCGCCCAGGCGGGCCTGCCTCCAGCTCCCTTTCCACCTGCTCCAGGTGGAGGAGGGCTGTGCGTCTTGCTGCGCCCGTCCCTGTCCCGACCCTGGCGGGCCCAGGCTTCCCCAGGCAGGCTAGAGGCGGATGGTGGCCCTCCTGAGCCAGGGCCTGCACCYGCTCGAGGCTGAGCGCGTTCTGAAGACTGCCGGATGGTGGGAGGGCAGCGCCCTGCCCTCCACGGGACCCTTGGCGGGACCCTCGCCTCCTGGCCTCCTCCCTCCTGCCCAGAGCTGCCCGTCCTCCATGGGGACCAGGTGGCGCAGGCACAGGAGCCATGGGCTGCAGGGGCCGAGGGGGCGGTCCCATAGCCCCCACACTGGCCAGCCCCTCCTGCCYGCCCATGGCAGGCCGCCCGCCTCTCCTGGCACTGCCGCCACCCTCTGTCCTTGAAGTCGGACCCCGCAGCAGCTCCCGTCCCTGCTCCCACTGCCAGGCGGGCATGGCYTCCCAGGCCCAGCTGGCTGCTCCAACCAAGCCCTGGGCTCAGTCCAACCGTGGTCCCGACACTTGCAAGATGGAGGCGCACCCCTTGGACCTCAGCTGGCAGGAGGAAGTGGACGCCCGTGGGACGGCATCAAGGGGGCTATGGGTCYGCTCGAGACTGGCAGGGGTGTGTCGTCTGTGGGAATGGGCGTGGCAGGGGCCTGATGGTGTGGTGGTGTCCCCAGTGGTTTGGGGATGAGGACAAGCCAGGCAGCAGGTGGCCACCCCCGGGCTCACAGTGGCTCTTCACCTTCCAGACTGAGGGCGTCTGGAGGTGTCCAGGCATGGCGGGGTAGGAGCCAGGGGCGGGGACATCAGGGCCACACTTGGCTGGGGATGGAGACTGCTCCATCTGGGCTCTGGGTGCGGACACATGGTCCCCACCTTCCTGCCTGGTGGCTCACCCAGGGGTCTGCTGGAGCCGAAGGCAGGCGGGCAGCTCGGGAGGAGCTCAGAGCAGCACCAGAGCGCGAGCCTGGCCACAGGAAGCTGCCTGTGCAGTTCCATGTGTCCTATTTGTCACAGAAAAATACACAAGTGGCCCTGGCGGGGGGTCAACTCAGCTGACAAGATGTCTTGTGGAAGACAAACCTGTGGCAGGCGGCCGGGCAGGGGCCACTGGCCTTCCCAGCACAGACCGGCTGGCTGCGGCCAGGGGAGGCCTCTCGTGGGGGGGCGCCCACACAGCGGCTCCAGCCGGGGACCCTGCTGGTGCCCACGGGGAGGGCGAGGCGGAGGCCAAGGAGGCCACTGAGAACCCCCCCACCGGCCCARTGCGCACAGGCCCCGCCTGAGGGACCCTCAGACCACGGTGACGTCAGCTGAGGACGGCCGCTGGGCTGCCAGCCCAAAYACACCTGCAGAAGCTCAGGGCCGCCAGGACACGAGGCACGAGGACACGAGGCACGGGGGCAGAGGACGGTCACAGGGAGGGTCCCAAGGCTGAGGGCAGGTGGGCCGCGCCTGGGCTCTCAGACTGGACTCGCCAATCAGCCTCCCGCAAAAGCCCTGGCTTCCGAAGCGGAGGAGGAACCGGCCTGTTGCAGACTGAAGGCGCAGAGGAGTCACACCCGGGGACATGACTTGTCAGCAGCCCGTCGCTCCTTACAGCTCTCCCGGGTGCTGGGACCAGGGAGGAGGGGAGGAAGGCCCAGGAAGGCTGCTCCAGGAAGGAGCAGTTYGTGCCCAGGAAGGGGCCGCGGCAGGCAGAAGGGCGCGGGTGCCGTTGCGCCTGCCGCTTCCTCTGTGGCGGGTTGGAGTGGGCCTGGCCTCCTCTTGGCAGGCTTTTGGACAGCCTCTAATCCCATCCTGCTCCTGGAAYGTGGCGCCTGTTTATTGGCAATCCGCTCTGTTGACCAATTAGCCTGAGCCACAATCAATTAACCATTATGCAAATAGCCCGTCCAGGGCGAGAGCTGCTGCCCGCTGCCCRCTGCCTGCCAGGCGGGAGCCGACAGAGCCTGGCAGCCTCAGTACCAAGTGGCTTTTTCTGGAGAAGGCTGAGGGCAGGAAATCAAAAGGACAGACACCAAAGGAACCCAGAAAGGATGGCCCACCTGCAGGCCAGGAGGCTGTTAGGAGGAGCCGAAGAACATTCCAGAACAGACTCAACACTCGCCACCAGAGGCTGAAACTGCCTCCGACGCAGACTCAGGTGGACAGACACAGACGGGATGTGCTGAGAACRAGGGTGGCCAGTGGGGGGCGCTCTGGCCCGCACCACTGATCCCAGATGCCGCTTCTGAGGCCGACTCCACGGCGGGGAGGCCGAGCGGCCCCACCCTGCTCGGTGGCTGGGCCCCAGCTGGGTTAAGCCACAAGTGACCAGCAGCTGCTGATGGAGCAGCCAGTGACCGATGGAGCAGCCAGTGACCCATGGGCAGGGAGGCGGCCTCCAAGCCAGGTCCAGAGGCCAGAGCACTGCCCGCTTGGGAGCGGCCACCCTCAAGACAGGCTTATGGTTATAAGTGGTTCAAAAAAAAGAAGTCCACCACGTCCCACGGCAAGCGAGGATCRCGCGGGCCAGCCACAGCGAGCGTGGGCACAGGCGCAGGACGAGCCAGATGCGTGCCTTCACCGAAGGTCTGCCRTCCGAGCAGGCTCTGGGCCACTTGGGGAGCTGAGGAGATGGGCCAGAGACTGCCGGCCCGGGCCCTGTACCGTCCCCAGGCTCCAGCTCACACTTGGTGGCTGCTGACTCTTCCTGGGGCCCAAGATGAAGGGACGCTGGGGACGGATGTGTCTGTAAGCAGCTCAGAGCCCTGGAGGCCTGGATGCTGCCTGGACAGCTCGGATCCACGCCTGGCCCCGGCCAGGAGAGGTGCGGGGCCCACCACGCTGGGCGGGACTATGCTGTTGAGGGGAGTGGGGACCCCAGGGTTGCTGAGAGGTGGAGCTGGAGTCCCCACRGCCATCCCCATGGACTGCGCCTCAGCAGTCACCTCCAGGACCTCACGGGGAGAGGCACCTTCACCCACGGCGCGCGGTCTCAGAGACAGAGGGGTGGGACTCTGACCCCTGGGCACTGGGAATGCTGCCCGGGACCTGCCACTCTCGACCCAGCCAGGGTCCTAAGTGCCCCCACACCACAGGCTAAGGCAGGAAGAGCGGGGGACACAGCGTGGGCGCTCCAGGGGAGACGGGTGGCCCGAGCAGCGCCCACCCAGGAGCCAGGCAGGTGGCGGAACCTGCTCCACTCCGAGGCAGGAGAAGGAAGGACGGACCGAGCCGCAGCCAGTGGGAAGTGGTCTGGAGCACGCCCTGTCCCACCAGTGATGGGTGACAGGCAGCTCCTGGACCCACCTGCGGAGGAGCTTGGCCTTGAGCGAGGCGCGGGAGGCGCTCCAGGAGCTGAGCTCGGGGCTGCTCAGGGCCGTGGGCCGTGTGTGGTCCAGCACCGGCAGGTCCTTGCCCTGCTTCCAGAGCTCGTAGCGCTCGGGCTGCAGGATGCGCACGAACACGTCCATGGAGATCTTCACCATGTCCTTGCGGCAGGTGCACTGTGGGGAGACAGACGCCTGAGGCACGGGCAGCAGCGGCCTCGCCCGGCCTGGCAGAGGCCCAGGGCCTTCCTCCACCCGGCCCTGTCAGCGGGAGGTGGCAGCCTCTTTCCCAGGGAGAAGCGTGACCCATCCCTTCTCAGGCTGCACGGACYGCGGCTGTCGGCAACCGCCCGAGGGGCTGAGCGCAGGCCCAGGCTGGCGGAGGGCGTCAGAGCTGGGCACCACAGGCAGCGGAGCAGCCCGAGGCGACCAGCTGAGGCCAGCTCTGCCTCTCGGTTCCAAACCAATCTCCCTCCTTCAGCTGCGCCCAGGCAGACAGAGACCAGGGAGCACTCTCCAAGCCGGAGGGAGGGGGGGAGTCGGCAGCCCCAACGAACAGGTGTGGTGAGGGCCAAGCCCAGGGTACGTTCCCAGGGGGTGGCCACCTCCCCTGGGCCTCCCCAAGGGTCACCCTCACCGGGGAGCCGCTGCTCATGGGGCTTGAGGGAGGGGCTGCCAGAGAGGGAGCTGGGGCGCGGGGCCCCACTAAGGTCGGCCATGCCCCGCCACACGCAGGGCAGGCACAGCGGGCTGCCTGCTGGACGCCGGCAAACTCCGCCCAGGACAGGGTGGGCTCTGGCAAGCTGCAGACCACAGGAGGCCGCGCTACGGTGCCGCCAGCAATCCCTGCACTACGTACGGAGAGCTGCGCCTCCCCACCCACTGTCCTCAGGCCGTGGCCTCTACAGCAGCAGTCATCAGGCAACACTCAGCCTCGGGGCACTTGGGGCCAGAGAAGCCAGGCCCGAGTGACCGTGGAGGCTACTGCAGCTGCTTCCTGGCTCTCTGCAAAGTCCTGCCCAGGACCACAAGCACCAGAACAGGGAAGGCAGCCAGGGCCCTGGTCTCCCAGTTACTGATCTGGAGACGGTGGGGGGGGGGGGCAACTGTGAGAGGGAGGGAGGCAGAGGGAGGTGACCACGCTCTAGGGCAGGGACTGGCAAGTTGTGTCCATGAGGGCCAGTTGCAGGTGGGACACTGCTGGCCTTGACCTTCAGCTCTTGACCTCTGTCTGCCACTGGAGTTCAAAAGCATCAGGACAATGTGCACAGGCAAAAGACTCGGCAAGGCTGTGTGCTAATAAAACTTTATTTACAAAGACCAGGCAGTGGGCCGCAGGGTAGGGCAGTCACCTGCTGACTCCTGGTCCAGCGCAGGCGGCTAGAGCAGCCCTGGGTRTCTCCCCTGAGGCTGAGGGCTGTGTAGGTGCTCAGGGCTAGGGAGGGGGTGCTGCTGCCAGGCTCCCCCGGCTCTGGGAAGGCAGATGCCCARGGATATGGGCACAAGCAGCCCGATGGCCTGTGGCCTTCCCTGAAAGCCCACATGGAACCTGCAGCCCCCTGTCAGACAACAGGCCAGGTTCCCGRGGCAGCCCGGCGCTCTCCTGCTTTCAAGACCCTGCGCTGTCACTACACGGTACGCGGTGGAGGGACAGGACAGAGAGGGAGGGTGGAACCGAGCAGGAGCAGCTGTGTCCCTCCAAGGAGCCTCCCAGACCCCCTGCTTTCCCCACAAGACGGAGTCCATGGCTCCAGATGGGATGCTTCCGGGGGTACCGCCGCCTGGAATCCCCACAGCTCTGCCCACCCCCCAGGGGCAGCCACAGTGCCTCAGGCTGGACCTGGCACAGGGCTTTGGGAACAGAAAGGGACCCAACCATGCCGACAGGAGGGAGTATTTACGGCCAAGTGATTCCCAGAAAACTCAATTCATTTCATGAAGCCCGCAGAGAGCTGGCCGCGACTTGGCTGCAGTGGCGGGAGCGCAGATGGCGCCTGGGTTTCGGATTCCTGGCTGGGCCGCGGCCTTGCCGGCGCCACCATCAGCAGCRGCTTAAGGGATTTGTACGGAGCAGCTCTGCAATTGCTTTTCCTTTAGTAATTAGAAAAAGCACCTGTGCGCCGAGTGCGCGCCGGCATGCTCTGCCAAGTGCGTCCCGGCCTGCAGCGGCCAGCCCCTCGCCGGCCAAGGCTGGCCCAGTTTCTGGCTTGCCCTCTGCCCACGGCTGCGCCCCCTGGAGGAGCTGCTGGTGCCAGCCTATCTGCAGCAGTCCTAGGAGCTGCCTTACAGGGCGGTGGCCGCCGGGAGCTCCCACACAAACGTGTCCCGTGGGTTCTGTAGAGTGGGGACGTGGGTACCCGAGAAGGAAACAGCAGGAGGAGGCAGGGCCTGGTGGCCCCAGGGAGGGGTACAGCCTGTGGGTGCAGGCATGTGGCATTCACTGTCCAGTGCCAAGCAGCTGAGCAACAGGGTGAGGGCCACAGACCTGTGGCCTGGCTTTGGTCTGAAGGTTCTAGAAAGCAAGGCCCTTCGGCAAGCACAAAGATGGCGCCCTCCTCAGGAGGCAGCCCAGCCATACGCAGAGCCTGCTGACGGCTGCCACACCACCTCCAGGCTGGCCTGGGGACGCAGAGAGCCCAAGCAAGGGCCAGGCCTTCAGGAGCAGCAGGGGTAGCCTTTAGGGGCCTCAGCCGGAAYCCTCAGGGCGGCCTCGGCAGGTGCCCGGTGAGAGAAGCCCACGGGCCGGTCACACYGTTTTCATCCAGGACCCCCCAAGCCCCGTCAGGCTGCCGACCCTCTGGGACGCGTGTCCTCATGGGGACCTGCTGCAGGCACTGAGGCGACAGTCCTGTGCAGTCCCCACCAGCGTGTGGGACAGCAGTGGAGTCACTCTTGGGGAGTGTGGCCGAGGCATTGGCTTCTGGTGGAGAAATCGGACCCAGATGGGGCTGGGCAGTCTGCGGCCCCCTGCAGGCCTGCGCACCCAGGGCCCTGCACTTGTACCTGTGCAGTAGACACTCAGCTACCTCGGCAGGTGGCCACGGTGCCCAGGGACAGCCGTGGAGTCTGGGCCGGTCCAGTGTGACCCAGTGCGACCCCGGGTAGTGACAGCTGTCCATCTAGTACAGCTGTAGATGGGACACTGCTGGCCCCACGAGGACCAAGGCACCCACTGGGGACAATAAAGCAGCAAAGTGAGACTTGGGCTGGGAGCCCAATACGTGTGACCTGGATCTCTGTCCCCAAGATGGTCCTGCCTTGGCCTTGCCTCCGCGTGTGGGCCGCTGTCCTCTGCAGGCCCTTGTCCCTGCCCCAGTAGGCTCTCGGAGGGCTCCTGGCATGGAGAAAGGCCTGACAGCCCGCCAAGCACGCCTCCCAGAGCCCTCGGCAGCGCCACTGGCCAGAGCCGCCTGCAGCCACATGCTGAGGAAGAGCGCGGCCACGGGAGCCTGACAGCAGGGGAACAGCAGCCTGCCCCTGATGCCCCAGGAGGCGGAGGGCCAGCGAGGCCACAGCCCCCCACCTGCCCCAAAGAAGCCCAGCCACAGTCCAGCCTCCACGGGCAGCCCCAGSGAGGGGCAGGGTGCAGGACGGCCAGCGCGGGGCCAGGGGGCGGTCCTGGGGCAGAGACGCCCTCCCTGCACCTGCTCTCTGCAGAGGGGCCGAGCGTGCAGCCCCCAGGCAGCAGGGTCAGGGAGGAACAAGCTCTCGAAGGGACACGCCGGTCCCTCAGAAGCCCACCTCAGGTGCCTCGAGCCTCTGGCTCACAGCAGCAGCCTCCGTGTGCCTGGCGCCCTGCCTCTCCTGGAACAGGCCCAGGGCCAGGTCTGACCCACCCTGCGGGCAGAGCGCCACGCACCGGCCCTGCCCACCTGCTCAGTCTGCTGGCCAAGCCTGTGCTCCAGCAGCAGGGCTCGCGCTCAAGCRACACCATGAAGCCACAGGATTCGTGAGCAGGCCATTCGGAACCAGCTGCCCAGACGCGACTTAGGCACGGGATGCCGTAGCGCAGTGGAGGGATGCAGGCTGGGGGGCCGCCACGYGCCACCCCCAGAACCCATGGGGACACCAGGGCATGTTGGCCACTGCCCGTCACCTGCATGGGCCCAGGCCCTCCACCCCAGATGCCCAGATGGGATGCCCCCCACGATCCCCTCCCAGCAGAGGGCCACTCCCGCCCAGGCTCTGGGTCCCCTCTGGCTGCAGCTGCCTCAGTGGGCTTTAGTTTTACTCTTCTCCTGAAACTGGACCCACATGGACAGACAGAAGGACACAGCAACCCACGTGCCTACAAAGACAACCCGGGGAGGCACTGGGCAGGAGCTCGCCTGTCACCTGGGCAGAGCCTGGCCAGGGCCTGAGGCGGGTGGGGGCGCCTGCCGGCAGGTAAGGCTGTGCCTGAGACGAGCCCAAGCTCCAGGAGACCCCGTGCTGCGTCGCGTCGGGAGAGGCTCCCCAGAGGCTCTGGAACCTTCTCCCAGTGCTGAAAGYACGACTGTCAGGGCCTTTAGTCTCCCAAGGTTTCGGATGACCAAAAAAAAGACGCCAGTTTCCGACGAGACTCCCTACTTGTGGCCGTAAGACCGAGCACAGAGGTCTCAAACTCCATGCTCAGGTGCCACCTGTTCTGTGCAAGAAGTCTGGGCCAAGGGTCCCCYGTGCCACGAGGCCCTGCCCAAAGCAGCCTGCAGCGCAGCAGGGCCCTCTCCCTGCTGCCCGGCCACCACGCGTGGCCCGCCTCCCCTGGCCAGAGGGGCTCTCTGCTTCTCAGGCCACGACACAGGCAGGGTCAGACAGGAAGGAAGGACAGGGAGCGCCTTCTGCTCCTCTCCTCCCCGGCCACCCCAGGGGACCAGCCTTGGGAACTCACCAAGGTCCCTCATGACCCGGTGTGAAAGCAGCCACGCTCGAGACTCTGCACGGCCTCTCACAACAGGACGGGAAGGGGCCAGGGCACTAGGAGGGGACACTTGCATGGGAGAGCCCCAGCCACCAGGGATCCCCTTGTCACTTGGGCCACACAGGCCCCAACATGGAGCCCCCTGACATCAGGCTACGTGAGCCTCGGTGGATGGACCTTAGGGAAGACCCAGGGTCAGGAGATCAGCAGGCGAGAGGTCAGCTGCCATTTATAAGTGACAAGCAGGAGATTCACGACCACTGCACTCAGGGGCCCG